AGGCCTGCCACTATTATTATCCTAAAACCACGAACTTATCCCTACTGTCCTCAAACCACCCCAACCCAGAAAAATAAAAAATGCTCGAAAGGCCCAGCGAGATTACATGGCGACGCCGACTGGCTATGTATGGTTTCAGCGCTTCGGAGGGTGTTGTTCGCTAGCTCCACGTCCTGCAACCCTAAACCCTAAACCCCTAAACCCTAAACCCTAAACCCGAACACTCAGCTCCGGATTCTGACCTGAACAGGATGGACGTGAGTGATGCGAAGCTCGGAGATTGGCCCGTGTGCTGCATGCATCCCAGCCTTAACAGCTAAGCGAAGCCAGCACAACTAAACCCCAAACCACATTCCCACATCCAGAGGTAGATGATGGAAGTTTCAGAACAAACGGAACCCGAGCTAGGGTTAGTTCTGGTGTTGAAGAACAAGGCTACATGGAATCTTAGACATTCCCTTGAGGGCTTTTTGACCTATACTGATATATCTGCCAATGGCTACAAACAGTGTGATCCAGTTCGGGACAACATAAGCTGCTGTAAGCCTAAGCCCACGCCAGCAACGTCGTGAACTTGGAACCCCAAGGTTCGAACTTGAACTGACTGCTCCTGAACCCGAGCTGCCTCATGCACGGTCGATCGGTGCGTAATGTCGCCTGGAGGCAATCATGGTGGTTAAGGTGGGGTTTCAGGATCCCACAAGAATTGAGGTAGGAATCGGTGACTGGCGAACATAGGCAACCACAGAGGTAGATCTAGTGAAAGAGGTCTGACAGGATCCCTTAACGAATCACGATTCAGGCTTTAAGCCTCGAGCTGAAGGTACGTAAGGGGTCCTCGTAAGCACAGGCCCTCCAAGAACTTGCTATAGAGCTATAGACTTGCATCAAACACCCTCCGACACCTCAACCTCCCTCAGAGGGGAAAGAACACCATTACCCTCGCCCCCCCCCCCCATGCACAAACTTTGTGATACTAGAAACATCACAGCCAAAAGTCTAGAGTTAAGACGCAGATCGAGACTGCAACACTTCTCCCCAGAACCTTAGCTCGACGAGAACAGATGGCACCCCTGATACTGCAATCCTAGACAGCACAAGCTGTGGAAGCACGGACGAGGACACGAAACGATAGTTACAATACGCGGAACAGCACC